TCACTATTGCACCTGCTCCCCGTCATCATTCATTACTGTTTTATTTATGTTTTCTATGTTACCATTGGTTGCCTGGAAGAGATTGCTGCATAGCAATAAGACCGCCTTTTGTATACTGTCTGATCTTTTTTCTTTCTTTGTAATGTGTCCTATATTTGTGCAATAAAGAATATTATTATTATTATTATTATTATATAATAAGATTTCGATTAGCTGTAACAATTGATGATATTGTAAACTTCTTACATGTCGACATGGCCAATTTGTAATAAATAAATAAATAAAAATATATCAATTTATTTATAATTTAGAATTCATAGAATAAAAAATAAATGAAAAAATACAGTAGGCTAGTATTCCCAATTTACAGTCCATGGACCCCTGAGGGTCTGCGAAGCCAATGTATGCCAAATTACAACTCGATAATAATACCGCTGAAACAGTAAAAGTGTCTTTTACATGAATGTTGTTTTTATATTTAAAAGTCTTTCATAATAGGACCAGTTTACTTAGAAATAAAAGGGTAGATTGTATTTTTTTAAAAGGAAATGGGCTTGAAATGGTATGCTGCTGTAGGTACATACATAAAGCTCATACATCCAGATACACATATAGGAAATCGACAATTATATATTCATTTAAAAAGATAGCATTAAATAAAAGTATGGACTGTTAACATTTTGAAAAACTTGTTAGAAGAGCTGCAATAGTCCTTCGGGAAATCTCAACCATGGAAAGTTGTAAATACCAACATCAAAAGTCGGTGCCTGGATCGTCCCTTGCACCGAATAATGACCTTAATATCTTTTTATGTTACTACTTTGAAAAGATGCTTAATCCTTTTTAACCGACTTTGAAAGAAGGAGAACCGAAATAATGCCAATTATTTGATTTATGACAGTCTGTAGGATTTAAAACACATGTGTTTGTCTAAAGTAAATCCACTGAAGTAAGAAATCTAATAACAGTAATAAAAGTGTCTTTTTCATTAACATCGTATCAAATTGTCCAAGAAATATTATAGTGTTATTCTCTTTCTTCTGATTTTATCTCTTTGTGTAAAAATCTATTATGATGATTATTTTTAATCCCGAGGTTAACTACCGAATATTGAAACGTCATAAATGTTGTAATTAGAATTCACATTAATATGAAATTACAATTCAAATTTACTTTGTAAAGGATAAATGAAGATTTTACATCAGTAGTGGTTATATCTTACGAAAACAACTGGAATTTATGCAATCTTATCAAAGATGGCGCGTAAACCCAAAACATGTAACTATAACCGTTTTTGCTGCACAATCATTTGGTTCAAAAGTAACTAATTTTCAGAAAACAAAAATTCTCGATTCTAAACCTTGTTCAAATATGCATCGACAGCTGTAAATTTTCACTTGCACAGAATGGTGCATGTTTGAATTTCACTTTTATTTTCCCACGGTAATAGAAAATGCTGCGACACGAGTTTGTTTTTAATACCTGAATAACAAAGAGAGCTATTTTGTTGCACATTGTTTTACTTTTAAAGACCTATAAATAAAACATAAACTAGTTTGAATTTTTACACCTAACTACACATTACTTAATTCTAATCTTGTTTTGGATTAGAATTAAGTAATATATATATGGAAATAAGTAGGTATATTACTCATCCATCATTGCCTTCTACTATTAAACAGGATAGACTCAAAAAGCACATATACTCAAAAAAAATTGAGGTGGATACAAAAAGTATTTTGAAAATAATTTTAGCTACTCTTAAAAACACCGTGTCAGAAGAGCGCGGTGGCGCTCCAAAACTCCAAAAATGAATGTAGGTAGGTTAGGTACCTACCTACACACTAATCGCCTAGGTACTTATGAAGTATCGTTTTTTGTATGCCACAACAGTTTGTTTTGTTAGGATCAGTGGCATATAAACAAGCTGTCCTTTGGTATAGCTGTCGCTATAAAATAGTTTTTTTTTAGAGCATGATTTAGCTGCAGTCGGTTTTTTGTTTTTTTAGTTTTTTTTATAATTATTATATATTTTTTATTCTAATTTCATTTGATTATTTATTGTATCAGTGATATGTAATTGGTTGAGTAATTATTATCCGTATTTTGTTATTTCAAACGACAAAACATTTAAAATCTGTATTACATATACAATAAATGGTGTAATTAATTAATAACAATAATAGATTTAATAGATAATAGAATTTAATAGACATATCTGACTATCCAAAAAGGCAGGCCCGCCATGATAAACTAGAAAATAATATTTACAAACTACCTGCGCAATGTTGCACATAAGTACACATTAGACAAAATGTTGAACGCATGTGTCTAGTATAATTAGATCTGATAAACTCTTTTAGCGACTCGTTGGCATAATCAAATAATAGCTATATAGCATAATAAATATAATCCGAGGTAATATCATACTAACATAGCTGTGGGTAATATCAATATCATTAACAGACAGTGTTGTATAAATGTAATTTAATGGATATTGTATTTTAAGAGACAACTAAATATGAGAAATACTTCTAATTTCTAACACTTATAACCTAATGTTATAGTTGTGTATTTTTTTTTAAAACTTGATATTTCTTCGAGTAGAATATAGTACCTAAAATTTTATTTCAGAAAATATCCAAAATTAAATCCAGATTCCTTACAGTTACGGGTTATCTAAGATGAAAGGTCTTTAAAAAAAGGAAGAAAATAATGTATTTAAAAATATCGTTACCACTTTTTGAAGCTGAAGAATCTTCATTTATCTATATATAGGATTTAGTGATTTTTTCTGTTCGGGCCATAAAGAAACTTGTTTGTAATTGTTAATTAATTTATCTGTACCTTGCGCCCTGGATCCAATGTGGAATGATGTAGATTAATTGACGATTGTTAGTTTATTATTATATATATATTAATTGGTTATTGGTAATTTATAATTAATGATAATATATATTTTTTTTTTATGTTACTATCAATTTAATGCATGCAGTGTTCTCTTGTACGTGGTGGGCCAATAGGCATGTATTTTTTGTGCATTTCTCTTTATATTGTCATGTAACAGTGTGCTCACTGTTAGAGAACCAAAATAAATAAATAAATATACTCCAAAAACAGTAAATACTATAGTTTATGTTAGAAGAAAACTTTAAGTTAAATTATAACAGCGTTATGATTGTGTAGTTATAATATTTTATAGCTACATAGCAAATATCTAAATCTCATATTAGTAATGTTATAAGTATTGTCCTAGATATATTTATTAAGTACTACTAATATACAGTTTGGGAGGATACACCTACACATCTCACGCAAAAACTATTGAATGTATTATGATAAAATTTTGTACATAGTTAATTATTTATTTAACGTTAAACTGACCAGTAAATAAACGGTACTAAAGGCGGACTTAATGCTATTGATATTCTCTCACAGTCCCAATTATAAGTCTAGATTAAAGAAAAGGCTACCTTTATCCCATTAAAAGGTTCCCCAGGCATAGAAGTACCTCCGAGGGTTGTGAACTCTGTCAAACTGTAACAGACATTGTACAGTTTAGGCAGACTAGAGTTTAAACTGTCTATAAGAAATTCCGCGATGCCATATATCTATGTGCGAAGACATAACCAAAAAAATATATTAAATTTTTTTGTCTGTCTTCTGAGGTTTATCTGTAGAGAAGCACAGACATATTATAAAATTTAAAATTATTTCATAAGTCATGATGTACGTGTCAGCTCCTAGAAATTCAGTCACCATGCCGCCATTTTTCAAATTACATTATTAGGTATCCGATTAACTTATAATGTGTTAAGTTTTTAGATAAGATTACCTACACTGTACCTACCAATCCCTGATAGTGAATGATGATAATGTCTTAATAGATTGGATGTACGAAAATTAATCAATTGGGTATCTAGAATAATAGATTATAGTTGAATATTTTTTAAATCGACAATGGACTTTTTCTTCTTTCGCTAGTAGCGATTCCTCTAAAGCTCGAAGTCCAGTTTGATCTCGTAGAGCGGTGTATCTCAAGTGCGCGGCGGTGCCCTAAAGCTTCGCAATGCTTGTGTTCGGGTCCACAAAAATATTGGCCCTATTTCGGCAAATAATAAGCTCAAATAAAATATGTTAACATTAATCCTGGTTTCTTTTTGTTTAGGGTATTGTTTAAATAATTAGTTTCCAAAAGGGTTCCGTTGGTAAAAATGTTTGAAAACCGCTGCCTTGGATACATTTTATAAAAAAAAATAGCATTATGAATGCCCAAATCACATCCACTAAAATAAAGAATATAATCATTGTTCCTAATTGAAAAAAAACTAAAGAAATATATTGTACATCCTATAAAAAATATATTAATCAAAATAAAACTTAGTACAGGCGCCCAATTGTGTTTTTTTGTAGGCAAGAAGATAGCATGCTTTTATATACGTTTAAATTACGTCAACAAATAATATACATTATCCTATGTAAGTATAAAGTATACCTTAAAGAAAACTTGGTTTCTTTACATTTACTTTTAATATTCCCTCATATTTTGTGACCTAATGTGGGTAATATGAACATATGAACATTTTTAACATTACACGTTGTGATAAGTGTATTATAAGAATCGCGTTTTAGGAGCAACTTGACATGTTAATTGCCAAGTCACTGATATTCATAACACGTGTGAAGTTCCGTTTAATAAAAAACCGGGTCATGTAACGCCAGTTTCTGCTGACCACCGACAAGTCATAAATTCATCGTCCGTTTTGCACCGAACTGTAAAACTACGTCATTAAAACTAATATACCGTTTGTTGAGAAAGACCATATAATCTTAACAATTAATTTTGTAAATGAGAAAACAACAAAAGATGTATTGTTTTATATTTCAAGTAGGTACCCTAGAGAAAAAATCGAGAAGTGGATTATTTTTTAAATTGAACTCGCGGAAGCTGCAATAAGAGCCTTCGCTTCGCTGAGAACTTAAAGATAATAATCACTAACCTGGAGTCGAACTTGTGTCCGTCATCTAAAGTGCCGGTGTAGTGCATGGTCAGCATGTCTCCATGTTTGGACTTGGTTTCGCAGCCTTCGGGCACGCTGACGACGTCTACCTTCAGCTCGGTGACCTCGGGGCCCGCCAGGGTCGCCCCGGCCAGTGCCAGGACAGCGAGAACGCAACGCAACGTCATCACGAACTTCGGAAAGTTGTCGGAGGAAAATCTGTACACGTGCGTTACCCGCGACCGCCGTAATATGACTGAACGGGTTTTCGCCAACTCTACTCTGTGTTTATTCGGCAAAGTTTTGCTGTTCGCCACTGCGCTTTACGTGCCGTCTCTTTCGTAAACCACGTAGCCGGTAAGTTGGAATGAGGTAGACGTATTACTGTTGCTTGCGTGATAAAGTAGGTGACGCGTCGCCGCTTCGCGCCTGCCACGCGACCGATGACGCGACCAGTCTTCCGCGCCGCGTTCCACTTTTACCAAAACATGATAACTTTTAGGTAAAATAAATTTGATAACAGACTTGCCTATACAGAAGAATATTTATTTTAAACGAATGAGAAAGTGCAGATAGTCATTACCATTGGCAGTGGTATATGCTTAAAAACTTTAAAATCGGATGATCTCACAAATACGATGTAATGCCGTTGATAAAGTGAAATTCAGCATAAGTATGTTAGTTACTATTTCGCTTTAAAAGTTTCCAACAAGTCCCGAATTAAGAGGGCGCACACCAAAAAGTTTGAAGATAATAAATTTAATTAAGAAGGTAGGCACGGTGGCGTAATGGAAAGGTAAGCGCCACGATACGCTGTCGGTCGTGTTAAGCAGCTTTCGCAAAATGGAAGTGACCAAAAAAATTTTTTCTCGAGCTACCCTGTGTTTCGAAAGGCTCGTTATACCGTTGGTGCGGCTGCATTTGCAGTCGTTAATACCCCCCAATCCGCATTAGGCTAGCGCGGTGGGTCACGATGGCCTATCCTATTTAGTATGTAGGTGCCACCTAACTTTATAGAAAAAACGTTCAAATAAGCTCTAATATTGAAAATGAGAAAACCAAATTGTATTGGGAAGGGCTCTAACAAATACAAAACATACCAAAAAGTTTTTCATTGCGAAAAATCATAAAGCTGTTTGCTTACATAAAACCTTTGATTAATTTTTTTTTCGAATCATTGTCTAGTTTATCGAACTACAAATAATGCTGAAAGTAAATGTAAGTGAAACAATTTTTTTTTAAATAAGAATTTTATTTCATTGTTGATATATTCATTTTTAAACTTATTTAGCTACTCAATCTACGCGAACATGTTCCTGAAAATTATTGTATGCTGTACCTACAACCACAGAGCAAATATAAAACATCTAATCTTTTCATTTTCATGCTATATTTTGAATTATGAGACAACGCTCAAGGCTGTAGTCTTACCACAGAAACGTTTATACCTATTTAAAAATATTTCTCTGACTCAAACGAAACTTCAAAATATATATACTATTGAGTTTTCTCTAGTTCTTTGAAACTATAGAACCGATTTTGATGAAAATTACGTTGAAATTTCATTATCTAACGTTGAAATCTTAAATAAAAATTATTATAATAATATTTTTAAACTCACACGATTTGTATACATTATAATTATATGCAATCGGGTCTTGTTCGTGCATTTTTTAAACAATTAATTTACCTCGACGTTTCGGCTACGTTACAGCAGCCGTGGTCACGAGGAGACTGGAGAACTGGCGGGTGTCGTCTTCTGATTTTAGTTGAGGGTAATTCAGTAATAATGTTTTTAACTGATTTTCAGATGTACCCTCCACTTGATTTTATTATACGTAAAGGTGGCGACACACTGCACTTACGGTATCCGAGAATATTGTTCGTGGTTGTTTACGATCGCGACACTTATACATTTTTATAACCGGATTTCACGTTGGTGAGAGTTTATATCCACTTTCCCGGTTGAAATTGTTGTGTTTTTTGATTTCAACCGCTTCACGAACAATCCTTGGATAGTAATGTCGTTCAGTGGAAAGGACATGAGGTGTATGTAACTCGATCCAGTGGTTTGATCCAGATGATAATAAGTGCTCTGCAATCGCGGACTTCTCCACTTGACGAATTTTGACCGCTGCTATGTGTTCTCTTACACGTTCGGCGATAGTCCGCTTCGTTTGTCCAATATAAGAACTACCGCAGCTGCAGTCAATTTTATAAACGCCAGGTTTTTGGTAAGGAATACTATCCTTTGGTGATCGCAATTGGTGTGACATTTTTGATAAAGGAGTAAAAATGGTGTCTATAGAAAAAATTTTCCTCAAAATGGAACCAATTTTGTCCGTTACCCCCTTAACATAGCCTAAAAATGCCCGTTGCCTGGGAACCTTAGGTAGTCTTTCCTTACACCTTCGGATAGGGTATGACCTCCTTGCGCTGTATCCATTTTTCCTTAGCACGTCCTGTACATGGGACAACTCATCTGCTAAGAAGTCAGTATTACATAATGCGTTAGCCCTGTTAATAAGAGTTGTCTCCACAGAACGTAGGTGTTGAGGATGATGATGAGATGAAGCGTGGAGATACTTGTCTGTGTGTGTTGGTTTCTTGTAGACAGTGTGTTTCAGGGACCCATCAGCTTGCGCCATGACTTTAACGTCCAGAAAGGGTAAGGTTTTGTCACTCTCTAACTCATAGCTGAACTTGAGATTCGGATGGATATTATTGACGTGTGTAAGGAACTGCTCAATCTCCGGTTTGTCGCCCTTCAGGATACAGAACACATCGTCTACATACCGTTTCCACATACGGATCCCATGTGACTGGTAATCTATCAATGACTCGACATGTTCCATCCATATATTGGCCAAAAGTAGCGCTACGGGGCTACCCATGGCGACACCATCAATTTGAAGGTAATGTTTGCCGCGATATAGGAGATAGCTGCCATCTAAACAGTTCCGTAATAGAACCATGTATCCTTCCGGTATATCGTTTTGTCTAAGTTTCATCCTAACAACCTCTAGACAGTCCTTAACTGGAACTTTGGTGAACAGCGACTCAACATCAAAACTCACCATTACGTCATCCGGATCCAGTTTTGTATCATCAAGGATCTGTACAAAATGACGCGAGTCCTTCACAAAGGATGTTGTAGTGCCCACAAGCGGTTGCAGTACGGAAGCAACGTGTTTTGCCAAATAATAAGTAGGTGAGTCAATCTGACTCACAATCGGTCTCAGTGGAACGCTGGTCTTATGCACTTTCGGCAATCCGTATAATTTTAGTGGTTGTACTATCTTCGTACACCTCATGTCCTTTCCACTGAAGGACATTACTATCCAAGGATTGTTCGTGAAGCGGTTGAAATCAAAAAACACAACAATTTCAACCGGGAAAGTGGATATAAACTCTCACCAACGTGGAATCCGGTTATAAAAATGTATAAGTGTCGCGATCGCAAACAACCACGAACAATATTCTCGGATACCGTAAGTGCAGTGTGTCGCCACCTTTACGCATAATAAAAATTCAAGTGGAGGGTACATCTGAAAATCAGTTAAAAACATTATTACTGGATTACCCTCAACTAAAATCAGAAGACGACACCCGCCAGTTCTCCAGTCTCCTCGTGACCACGGCTGCTGTAACGTAGCCGAAACGTCGAGGTAAATTAATTGTTTAAAAAATGCACGAACAAGACCCGATTGCATATAATTATAAAAAATTATTATAATTATTAAAAATTAATATAAGAAAATTCAATTTCAATAATGGAAATTCTATACACTATCTGGGACAATTTGATAGTAAGATGGTATTTAGTGAAATATTGACTTACTAGCGGATAATTTTTTCAAAAATCAACATATTACTTATATGATATCTTTCTAATATAAAATTTTATAGGTCAAAACTGAAAATCTGTTTTTAACCTCACTAGCAAACATATTACTGAGCTTTTCCCCTTTTGCGTCATTCCAGCAGACATAATCACTTGTCTACAATTCCATTCAATTAAATTTTTTTCTCTATATTTCATGTCTCGGATGACACACTAAAGCAATTATAAAAGTTGAGTAATTATCCCTACTTTTATAATTGACACACCAGCACTTATAAATAGGGATAGAAAAGATCGAGCCTTTTAGGCTTAAATTTTAAGCTTCGAGTCCTTTTTTAAGACGTACTCATAAAATAACTAAGAGTTCCTTACTAAAAAGGGCTAGTCTTATTTTAAGCTTAGGCCTTTTTAAAGTTTGAGCGTTTTTTGAAGGCTGGAAATTGGAGCTTTAGCTAGTTGTAATTAAAAAAAGCCTTATATGGATGTTATTGATTAAAGATATTTTCATTTATTGTGAAAATGATAATAATAAATAATGAGATGGTATACCGGAAATATATTGTATAAATGTGAATATTTTTTTGATTGTTAGATAATAAATATTAAACTTACTTTTTTGTACATTTTTTGATATCTCATGACCAATCCCAAAGAGGAGAAGGAAAGAGTCAAAAGCCTTTTTTTAATATACCTCGTGAAAGTAACTTAAAGCCTATTTAGAATTTGTGCCCGGACAATATGACTGCAAGTTTAAAAAGGAAACTAGACTAAAAAAAGGCTCGAGTCTTTTTATAGCCAAAAGCCTTTTTTTTAATAAACCTCGAGGGCTTAAAACCTGTTTAGCCTTCTTGCCCTGTCAATAAGGCTGCAAGTCTAAAAAAAGGCTAAAAGACTCAAGTCCTTTCTATCACTACTTATAAAAGATGAGTATGATATGCAAATAAAATTATTATTCATTCATACAATATCGAAACTCTTAAAATTGTATAATATGCATAAATAGTGTTATCGAATACGCCATATATAAAGAGTATTTAGTAAAGCTTCAAGTGAAATTTGTGAACTTTCGCTTTATACCTGGAGTATACGCTGTTTCTCCGAAAGTGATAATTCGTCATTTTCGAAACTCTATTATGGTTCCAAAAAAAAATGCAGATTTCGAAAATTTATAATAAAACGGACGTAGGTTCCGACATTGGCTCTGATCACAGAAATATCTTCTAGGATACCTATCATACCTTTTTTTTATTTATTATAGGTTATTTAGTTATTATTGTTTTATTATAGGTAAAAAAAAAAGTTTCCAAATTTGCATTCACGGACATACAAAGAAGACACCTTAGGCCCGTTTAAAAATTGATAGAACATGTTGATTAACAGAACAAATGGAAAGTGACGGATTTTTGCTATGTGGACTGTCGACAGACAATATACTGAACCTTCCAGCACTGGCCCTCTCGACGACGACGGCTACATTACCCAGATTTTCAATTTTTGTAATCTTTATTTTCATTGCAGCAAATCACTTAAAAAAATTGTTTGTTGTTTTATT